CTGCTTTTTAGTGGTATTTAGCTTACAAAACATGTTTTTGTTTATGTATTTAATCTTTTAAAATACTGATTTTTTTTTTAGGCACAAAATACATGAATCAATTGGAAATGAAAATCTTAACGTATTTTGCATATACCCTGTTTGCACACTTGTAAGAACAATACCGGTTTCAAAAAAAACAGTGCAAGTTCTGCCGCTGCTGACTTCCGTGCACAGACGCCAAAAATAGAGAGAAAAATCAATTATTCTTTTTTTAATTACATTATTGAAGCATAGATGCATTACTTGTGAAAAAGGTACAAAAAACAAGTCTTTCTCAATAAGTTAAACCTCTGGCTGAAGAGCAGGGCTGGCTCACAAAACAAAATGTTTCTCATAAAGCATTCAAATGAAGCAAATGACAAGGAGTGAACTTGTGTCGCTGAAATAAAAACACGTCTCCTTGTTCAATTTAACTTGTTACCCCCAAAAAAACCCATAGTGGCTTATGTTACAGTCCTTCCACCCTTTTCCACAGGGTTTTACAAGCATTTTTCATGAAACTTCATAAGTTCCATCGTTTGATCGACAAACAATAAGCTGAGTTATAGTTGGTTAAAAAAAAAAAATTATAACAATATAATTATAACAACAGTGACGGTAATAACGAGAAACTGAAGTAATAAACAGTCCTGTACAGTTAGGCTCATCTTCTGACTGACCACAGCCAAACTGATCGATTATCGAGACCCGTGCTGGCTGAAGAAAGGTGGCCAATGCTGTCGACTCCTTTCAGCCTCTCTTATGGACCATTTTCCTGTCAGGTCCCCCTCTGTTGTGAGAAAAGCACAAGACACAGTGATCGTCAACAGAGACCGGTTCATTGTTCCAGGTATGAACTGGAAAATTCACAGCCCTTACTCTTGGTTCCATTTCTCACAAAGTAATGTTGGGCTACTCACAGGTCCCAAAAACAAAACAAAACAAAAAAAAAAAAAACACAAAAGGCGTGACCAGCCCTTTCAATGATCTAGCATACTTGTCAGGCTGTGAGACAAATGATTGTGCTTATACAGTATTGTTCAAAATAATAGCAGTACAATGTGACTAACCAGAATAATCCAGGTTTTTAGTATATTTTTTATTGCTACATGGCAAACAAGTTACCAGTAGGTGCAGTAGATTCTCAGAAAGCAAACAACACCCAGCATTCATGATATGCACGCTCTTAAGGCTGTGCAATTGGGCAATTAGTTGAAAGGGGTGTGTTCAAAAAAATAGCAGTGTCTGCCGTTGACTGTACAAACACAAAACTATGTTGTACAAACGTTTTTGTTTCTAGGATTTAGCAATCCTGTGAATCACTAAACTAATATTTAGTTGTATGAAACCAGTTTTTTATAACTGCGTCACATCTGTGTGGCATGGAGTCAACCAACTTGTGGCACCTTTCAGCTGTTATTCCACTCCATGATTCTTTAACAACATTCCACAATTCATTTACATTTCTTGGTTTTGCTTCAGAAACAGCATTTTTGATATCACCCCACAAGTTCTCGATTGGATTAAGGTCCGGGGATTGGGCTGGCCACTCCATAACATTAATTTTGTTGGTTTGGAACCAAGACTTTGCTCGTTTACTAGTGTGTTTGGGGTCATTGTCTTGTTGAAACAACCATTTCAAGGGCATGTCCTCTTCAGCATAAGGCAACATGACCTCATCAAGTATTTTGACATATGCAAACTGATCCATGATCCCTGGTATGCGATAAATAGGCCCAACACCATAGTAGGAGAAACATGCCCATATCATGATGCTTGCACCACCATGCTTCACTGTCTTCACTGTGTACTGTGGCTGGAATTCAGAGTTTGGGGGTCGTCTCACAAACTGTCTGTGGCCCTTGGACCCAAAAAGAACAATTTTACTCTCATCAGTCCACAAAATGTTCCTCCATTTCTCTTTAGGCCAGTTGATGTGTTCTTTGGCAAATTGTAACCTCTTCTGCACGTGCCTTGTTTTTAACAGAGGGACTTTGCGGGGGATTCTTGAAAATAGATTAGCTTCACACAGACGGCTTCTAACTGTCACAGTACTTACAGGTAACTCCAGACCATATCATGGTGGATCTGGATTGTCCTCAATGTGCTGGAGAAGAAAAAACATTTATTGATATCTATTTATTACTACTACATCTCTATAAGTATGTTCTAGAGCTTGTTTTGAGTTTCACCGTGTTATTTTTTAAAATTATGTAGGCCTATTGATATTCAGTCCGACTGCCAGCATGTAAGGCCATATAAAAATCTCCTCCTCTGCTCTTGGCTTAATGATTAAAACCCCCAACAGGTTAACAAAACAAAAAGCTTACAGCCTAGTGATTTTTTTGTTCAGAAATAGCAACATGTCAACATGCTAATGCGGTTAGTCTGGTGGGCAGTTTGATTACTATGAGACGCGGTGGAGAACAGCTACAGTGGGGCAAATAAGTATTTGATACACTGGTGATTTTTCAAGTTTTGCCACTTACAAAGAACGGACAGATCTGTAATTTTCATCGTAGGTACACCTCAACTGTGAGAGACAAAATCTACAAAAACATTCCAGAAAATCACATTGTTAGATTTTTAAATAATTTATTTCCATTTTATTGCATGAAATAAGTATTTGATACAATAGAAAAATAGAACTTAATATTTGCTACTGAAACCTTTGTTTACAATTACGGAGGTCAGACGTTTCCTGTAGTTGTTGACCAGGTTTGCACACACTGCAGCACTCCAGAACCTTGATATGCTTCTTACGGAGCCACTCCTTGGTTATCCTGGCTGTGTGCTTTGGGTCGTTGTCATGTTGGAAGACCCAGCCAGGACCCACCTTCAATGCTCTGACTGAGGGAAGGAGGTTGTTGTTCAAACTCTCACAATAAATGGCCCCATTCATCCTCTCCTCAATACGGTGCAGTCATCATGTCCCCTTCGCAGAAAAGCACCCCCAAAGCATGATGTTTCCACCCCCATGCTTCACGGTTGGGATGATGTTCTTGGGATTGTACTCATCCTTCTTCTTCCTCCAAACACGGTGAGTGGAGTTTATACCAAAAAGTTCTATTTTGGTCTCATCTGACCACATGACTTTCTCCCATGCCTCCTCTGGATCATCCAGATGGTCTTTGGCAAACTTCAGATGGGCCTGGACATGTGCTGGCTTGAGCAGAGGGACTCTGCGTGCGCTGCAGGATTTTAAGCCAAGACAGTGTCATGTGTTACTAGTGGTAACCGTTGAGACTGCGGTCCCAGCTCTCTTCAGGTCATTGACCAGGTCCTCCCGTGTAGTTCTAGGCTGATCCCTCACCTTTCTCAGGATCATTGATAATCCACGAGGTGAGATCTTGCTTGGAGCCCCAGTCCGAGGGAGATTGACAGTCTTCTTGAATTTCTTCCATTTTCTAATAATTGTGCCAACAGTTGTTGCCTTCTCACCAAGCTGTTTGCCTATTGTCCTGTAGCCCATCCCAGCCTTGTGCAGGTCTACAATTTTAGACTGAGTGTGTGGACAGGTGTCTTTTATACAGGTAACGAGTTCAAACAGGTGCAATTAATACAGGCAATGAGTGGAGGATAGGAGGGCTTCTTAAAGACAAACTAACAGGTCTGTGAGACAGAATTTTTACGGGTTGGTAGGTGATCGAATACTTATTTGATGCAATAAAATTGAAATTATTTAAAAATCTAACAATGTGATTTACTGGAATTTTTGGTAGATTCTGTCTCTCACAGTTGAGGTGTACGTATGATGAAAATTACAGAACTGTCCATTCTCTATAAGTGGGAAAACTTGAAAAATCGGCAGTGTATCAAATACTTATTTGCCTCACTGTACCTGCTGAGGTAGTACTGATGTCCCAGGAATGATTGGCCGGCCTAAGGAAACCTGCGCACTGCTGTCTATTTTTATTTTTATTTACTTAACTGATAATATTAATTGGCTTATTATTGGTTAATGTTGTGCGTCCCTAGTCAGTCCACTTCCAAGTAAACTCGGGTTTGGTTTGTGACAGTAACAGAGCTTAAATGATTAGGGGATGGACAGAAAATTAATCAGACTGTTCTGATAATCAATTCATTGCAAAAACGCCAACCACTCATTTTCCGCTCTTCTCTTGTGATGATTTTTCTGTTTTTCAGCTTCCTTTGTAAAAAAAAAAAACATACAAAAAACAACTTTAACTTCTACAAAAAAGATGAGGAAATCAGTTCTAAATCACAGATTTGTAAAAAAACAAAAAAAAAACAAAACAAAAAAAAAAACCCTTAAGAACTCATCAGTGTGCTTCACCTCTCTGGCGTTTGCAGAAGAGGTCCATTCCCAGAACGTTTCAGTCCAGTTCATGCACCTCGTCCTGCCGGGAGGCCAAGGGCCGCCCCACCTCGCTCACCCGTTTGGCCATGATGTCCCACTGTGGAGTCAGGGCTTTGGACTTAGAGCCTGCAGAGGAAGAAGAGCACTAAAATGTTGGCTGTGGAAACAAACACTCAATACATGATACAATGTATGAAAGGATACGATATTCTGCCCTCTAGTGGCTTCACTGAGTAATTTTAGTGCCTCATTCCAGCCCTTTTATTCAAAGAAAACATCCATAAACCTCTTTCAGTCTATTCCCACAACACAACTGTCATCAGGGTCCCACATTTCTTATTTTAGAGTTCCAAGAACATTTAGAGATTTTCAGGAAATCGGCATCTACGTTCTGGACCTTTGACTTTGAATAAAAATCAGATTCAGACCTGTGAATATTAAGTCTGAGAACCCCTGCTCTACAAGATAAGTGGTAGGAATAATGGATGGGAGAACTGTCTGCTTTCCCTCCTCTTTCACTATAGTAAATCAAAAGTTTTTAGGTTTTTAGATTTTGCACAATGCCACATCAAGTTGCTGAAAGAGTCTCACTGGCATTTACACATATTTTTCTCTGTTTTCTGATGTTTTCATACCACAAACAAGTAGGGCTGCAACTAATGGTTCATTTCATTATCAACCTACCTGCAGAGTATTTTCTTGATTAATCGAATAATTGTTTTGGCTTTAAATTATCAGAAAATGGCCACTGCCATTTCCCCAGAGCCCAGAGTAATGTTTAAAAAAAAATTTAAACCAACAGGCCAAATACAAGGATATTAAGTTTGGTATCTTATGTGACAAAGACAAGGCTCAAATCCTCAAATCAGAGAAGCTAGAATCAGCAGATGTTTGGCAATTTTGCTTGAAAAATGAATAAAACAATTAAATGATTACCCTCCCCAAAAAAATCTATCAAATAATCACTGCAGCTTTACAAATTGCCGATTAACTGAGAAAACAATCATCGAATTAATCGATAAAGAAAATAACCGTTCGCTGCAGCCCCACAGTGCTTCGGATTTAACAACTACAACAATAGAAATAATGCATAATTGTTATGTTTAACAATTTCAAAATAATAAAAATAGACACGCTTACAGCACCTTTCTCGCATACTGATAAATTACCATTGTATGAAGTTGATGAGCTGCTGTTTAGAATAAAGAATAAAAACTAATCCCTTAATCCTAGAGCCTGGCTGATTTCCAACCCAATCTCCTCCTGCTATGTTATCCCAGTCCAGGCCTGAGGTGGGCTCAAAGACCGGTGGAGATGCTCTCCCTCAGGATACACTTACTGAGCCCTCCTCCTCCTCCTCTTCCTCCTCTCTGTTGTTACCATGACAACATAGACTGTGGCCTCCAGCAGCAAAGCCCATTCAATCCTCTCGCTCTCTCTCTCTCTCTCTCTCTCTCTCTCTCTCTCCCCGTCTTTCTCTGGCACCCTCTCAGTCTGTCTCTTCCCCTCTCTTGTTTCATGGGGAACAGAGAAAGTGGGACATAACCCAAAAAAATAAGAGCCCAACACACTCTTAACCCCTCGGCAGTGGATCTTAACTGTGTGTTGTAGCCAAGGAGCTCAGCTCTGCCTTTATATTGTCCTTAAATATTCAAATATGAATTATTTAGCAGGGATGTTAAAGCTTTAATATTTATGTAACATATAATAAACTTTAGTTTGTGCTAATGCAGTTAATATAGTTGAAAGTATGCTGTAATGACTAAAAATACATTTGTTTCAAAGCTGATCACAGCATTAACAAATAACTTTATGTACACGAACAACTGTCTTAGTATGTAGTATACACAGTAGTACACATTGTAACCAACCGAAATGTTGTGCTACTTTTCTATGGTAAAACTGACAAGAATTTACTAAAAACACAGGCTGACAAGCCACAGTGCTTCTGGGACAACATCCTCTGGATAGATTAAATGAAATGAGAGCTTTTTGGTGAGTTACAAACATGGAGGAGTCTCAGGTATAATGTGGGCTACTTTGCTGCATGCGGCACAGGGCATCCTGAAGCTGTGCAGGGAACAACAGAATCAGAAGATAACTGAGATATTCTGAAGAGAAACATACAACCCAGTGCAGAACGCCATCTCAGTCACAGGTCACGGCTCCTACAACTGGATAATGACCCAAAACATAAGTTTAAAAGCAGCAAGAATGGATGAGAAAAAAAAACAGAGGATAGTACTCAACTGTTTTCACAAACTGAGCAGTTCTCCTTATGAGGAGTAAGCTAAAGTGAATGTGTAAAATTGTTGGAGAGCCCCTTTAACAATGAAGCTGAAACACAAACACACTCGCTCCTTTCACTCACTATCCAGTCCGTTGTGCTGTTCATAGGTGCGTTTGCCCAGGATGGTGGGCGAGCCGTTGTTGAGAATGGGGGAGGATTTTATGGGTGTTAGGCTGCCTGTAGAGATGGTCCCTCCACGAGCTGGGGGGTCAGGCTTGGCTGGACGGGGGTGTGCTTCTGAACCATAAAGAGAAGAAGAGCAGCAGAAAACAGACTGTCAAGCTGACAACAACTAGTAACTGAGGGTTACACAGACAGAATAAAGTCATCATAAGTGACCTGGAACAAGATGAGAGACTCATGGTGAAAACATACCAAGAACCATCTTGGCACATCTGTAACATGCAAGATATAATTTACGGTTTGAGAACACTTCTTCTCACACTCGCAGGAGAGAGACATGTCATATTTTGTTCTTAAGATTTACTTGTGTGTTCACTTTAGGAACAAAGTCTCACAAAATAAACATAAGCTGTCCATTCACACCTCACATAGGGAAAAGTGGAACTAAAACAGACACTCAGAGGTAAACTGGGATGCACTGGGTGAGCGGCTTTTTACCTAAATACCGAACCACAGACTCCAGAGGTTTACGCTCCACAGGTTTCAGTGGCAAAGGCTTTTTTGGCCTATCTGGCAACCGCAGGGCGCCTGCAGAAATTTATTATAAAAATACAGTCATTAAAAACTAATTAAATTAAAACTGGGCTCTTTAACAGTAATGACACAGTCTATTTCATGTCACAAATTTTACAATATGAACATACAACTTCAACAAACTGTTGGAACAAGCGCACACAGCAGGTACTGTATGTGTGATACAGTCACAAGAAATGCTTCTCACATTCTGCCTTGATGGCTGCCGTGTTGACAGGGAGGTAGGGGTGCCTGGCCAGATATCTAGGCTTGATGATGTCCTGGCAGAGGCGGCGAGCCATCCGTGTCAGCCCAGTGGTCTGCAGGTAGAATGCCTGTCGTGTCTTCACTGCAAACTTGGGGCTGCCGCTATGCCGCGGGGGCAGACTGTGGGGGCTCTGGAAGAAGGATCAGATCAACAACGGTTATAGATACAACAAATGTACAAAATGGTAATGTGTGTTTGTGGCCTCAGTGCATTCATTAACAGCTTCAATTAACACACTGGTTGATGCAAATAACAAAACTCACAGTTAAAACTCACTAATAATTAACTTAAGGCCACTGCTGAACAATATCCACCCTCTGGTGTGTGTTAGTGTGTACCATATTGTTACGGTTGGGTCCAGGTCTCTCTCCATCAAGTCTTGTGGGCATCTTCAGGCCGCCATACTTCTTCCAGTAGGTCCAGCATGAAGCACACAGGCGACACTGCATGTTGGGAGGTCCCCACGAGTACCATTGGTAGGAGCTGCTGGCTAAACACAGCAACACGTACAGATAAGTACAGAACAACAAGATGGCACATAAGCCGCACACAATCATTAATAGATGCTCATGTGCTCAATTTTAATCACAAGTCAAATAAGATAATATAGAAAATGACCAGCCTTATCCTTTACATGTAACAGGACTTGTGGAAGCCAAAGCACTTATTCTAAGTACATGTATAATTTAGCAAGACTTACAGGAATCTAATTACAACAGGTCAATAAATACAGAAAAACAACAGCCACTGCAGTTACATGACAGCGGTTTACACACGTGAATGACTTACTGTAGCAGCTTTCACAGGCTCTGCCGAGGCCGGGGGTCTGCGCTGAGCCTGGAGCTCCTGGGGTCCCTGCACCCGCTGCTCCATTCACCAGAGTTGTCTTTACATTGTTACTCAGCTGGTTAGGGTTTGGCTTGTTACTGTTGTGGCACAAAAGAAGAGACAGGGTCAGCCAAGCAAAGATAAGACTCTGTGTACTCGGTGTACAGTAACATTCATCAGCCTGCTGCCAGAAACACCGATACTGTACTGAGAGCTGTCATGAATAATACAGTGAGAGAAAGGTTTGTGGGTTTGTGATGCTCAGCTTTTAAAACTCAGAAATATTGCCGAAAAGACTGGAACAACAGTCCAAACCTTATTTTATGATACACCAATGTACCCAATATTTTTCCAATATTCTCAAAAACCTAATATTTGACCCAAAAACGTGCACTCACTAGTTAGGAATGTAGACCTGCTTCAACTTGCTTTCTGCCTCGGCTGCTTTTAATCGTTTCTGGAACAGGAACAAG